AGACCTCTTGTGCATATTCAAAATGTAGAGAGGAGAGAGAGCTCTTGGATGAAGAAGATGGGTGGGTTAGAGCTTTGAACTAGAATTAGGTCCCCTCTCTTTCTCTCTACAAAATGAGAATGAGAGCTGGAATTTCTGGATAACCCATTTATATGGAAGGACAATTTGGTCATTTCAAGGTGTAGGAAAATTACTATTTTTGTCTGATTGTTGTGCATGGCATGTGCATATTTAAAATTTCTTATTTTTGTCACAAAATTAAGAAACTATCCTAGTTGTGGGTATTTCCCAAAAAAATAATATGAGGAACACCTTTGTGAAGGTGCAAAAGCCCTCCGAATCCACTGGATACAAGATTTGGTTAGGATACAAGCGATTCCAATTTTATTAGTTATCTACCCAACTCAGGAAAGAAAAAAAACCGATAGAGAAATATAATATAAGCACATATATATAATACGTGAATCCATGACATTATGGCCCTGTTTGGCAAATCGGATAAAGGATCGGATAGAATTAGTTATACGGACCCGGGTGTTTGGCGTTCACTCGTACTAAATAAGCACCGGATTAATTTAACCGGTCGGATAGGATAATACGGTATACACCCGCTTAATAAAACCAACCAAAACGTCCGGATTATTTAGTCGGGGAAGAAGAATATGGTAGAGAAAGGGAGGGAGTTTGGGGGGTGTGGCGGAGAGAGCTGGGGAACAATTATTTGGGATTCTTCTACCGTCGGGGAAGAAGAAGGGAGAGAGAGGGAGGGTGTTTGGGGGGTGCGGAGAGACCTGGGAACAAAAAAATGATTTCATTTTTTAAATTTTTTTTTTTTAAAGTTTGATGCCTCCTATCTAGTATAATATCAAACACAGTATAAATAATAAGGTCACTAGTCCGATACTGCACCAAATACCCGACTAATTTAGTCAGTACTATCCGGTGGCTATTTATCCTATCCGACAGAAATAGTCAGTACAGTCCGAGCTGCCAAACGAGGCCTATCTTTTTTACACAACTTTTAACACACATACGTGTGGAGCCTGCTTTGTTAACAATTCGAATTGTCTATCTTTTAAAATATCATTCATAGATCATACTTGCAGAAAATTAGATAAATCCATAACTACTAAGACATTCATTTGTAGTGAATAAAATGGACGAATACAGTTCTACAAAAAAAACTAAACCCTTATTCCAATGGTCATATGATTTTAAATTTGAGTAATTTTGATAGATATGATCTTTAAGATAAAACTTAAAAAATAAGCAATTCGGATCGTTCAAATAATATTATTAAGTAGGTCCACGAACATGCGTGTCAAAAATTGTGTAAAAAGTGTAGTGACACGATCTGTTTCCTATAATTATCTATACATATGTGATGTGATATTAGGAAAACAAACAATTTGTGTGGTAATTATCTGTTTAGAGGCCATATATATTGTAAAATTTGTAGAAAGAAAGAGTGAAACTGGAATCCAATTATCGAATTATCCAATGAGGTTCGAATAACGTGAGTAGTGATATGTTGGCCTCTGTTTTATGTCTGACTCTGCGTAGGAGGAGTTAGTAGCAAGATATTATATAGTCTCTTTATCTTCTCCATCTTTGTGCGCGTGCTGATCTGTACTTCAAATCAGAGAGGTTTCCATTTGCTGGGACATTTCCCATTTGCAGAAAAATCCATCATCTTAAATATATAATAATAATATTAAGTAAGGTTTACCTTTGATAAGGTATAGAGAGAGAGAGAGAGAGAGAGAGAGAGAGAGAGAGAGAGAGATAGAGAGAGACACTATTCTTGTGAATGATTGGTCGTTTCATGTCTGTGCTTCTTTTGTTTGATATCCCATTTATTCGATGATGATAATAATAATCACAGCACTAACAAACTAAACGTGCATGCAGAATTGCAGATGCAGCAGCTTCATGGGATGAAATGAAATATGTAAATTGATTTATATATATGCTGCCTCCCTAACGAGAAGATATCAACTTTTTAATCTTCTTCCCTTTCCTCTATGTATGTTTGCTTGTTCTTCTGATTGTTATGCTACCCACCCACCCTCCCCGGTGGACTCGTAGAGGGAAGAGAATTGGGTTTCAACTTACACCGTCTAATTTCAAAAGTACATTGACACGTTATCGATCATCGACATGTCCTCAATATCTTGCTGCCAGGACCAAGTCAGCTAGTGAAGTGGTTTGATGACCCAAGTTTTGCAACTTGCAAAGGGCCTAAAAATCTCGAACTTGGATTCTCCTCCTCCCCTCCCCTCCTTTCACTCTTTATTTTGTCTTTATTTCTCTAAAAAAAGTTACATAAGATGTTGACGTAACTTAACTGTAGGGATGACAACAGTTTGGTTTGGGGACGGAAATAATAAATTCATCCCCATAACCACGCAAATTAATCATATCCTACTTAATCGGGACTGTTCAAATATGAGAGGATAAAAAAAATTAAGGGAAGAGAATCTTACCAAAAAAATTTCACTTCTCTACCAACATTGTGTAAGATTAGGTTCCCTTCTTTTGGAGTCAATGACTCAAGTTTGTACATATATAATCCTTTTATTACTGTGCTGATGTCATCCACACTAATTTAGCCTCTCACACTTTAAAGGATCAGTAATTACAAATCTTCTCTCGTGATTTATCTATTGTGATCATAATTTGTATTTTTATCAGTACTAGCACTTACATGAAGGAGGAATCTTATTCTTAGATGGAGAAATAAGATTTTCATCATTATAATAAAAGAATAATAATTCACGAACCCCACCAACCCACTACTTTATTCAATATTTACAATAAAATGAATTACACATGTTACGTTTTTTTTCTTTTCTTTTAATTTATGCAATTTAAAAATCGAAAATAAAAAAAATGTATGAAAATCATTTTTCAATTCAGATGAAATCACAAACCCAGCACTTTGATCGAAACCCTCATATATTTATTGTTTTTCTTTGTTTAATTGGATTTACATTAGAATAATAACGTTAAGGAAAATCTGTATTAGTTGAGAAGGGACTCAACAATGTTAGAAAATTACAATTTATGAGTGATTGACGAGGTATGCAACATGTCGATAATTGCTAATCGCGTTGGTGTTTAAGCTTACATCTAAATGACAAAATCATATGTCGATGATTACTAATCAAGAAAACTCGAGACACATGACATGACACATATGGTTACTAAACGAAAACAAGAACAAAACTATGACGCCATTAGTGTTAATTGGAAATTGGACTGCTGATCGTGGGTGACCAAAAAATCGTCATACATAAAGATAAATCCAATGGTTGCTTCATTTCATGTGTCTCCATGTGCCCAAGGCCCCAAGCCAAGAGCCAGAGCCACCTGTTAAAGCACACTAGCTCATCTTCCATTCATGATGCAGCACTAAATATTTGCCAACCCAATAAATAATAAATAATAAAATTAAAAGAAAGAGAGTCGAATTTTTTAATTTGCAGAGTATTGGGACCATTATTCATAGAAAAGAAACCATACACGCCTGAATTATATATTGAAGAGTACTACCATCCATTTATTGGTCGTACATCTTTTAAATCTCTAGCATTGGTACAATGGATGGACCAACAATATTATTCGTACATGCTTTCATTTTTTACTATGCACTTGTGTCAGCATTTTTTTCGTCGTTGAGTACACGTTTAATGCTTCATTCGTTTGATGTATACTTGCTTACATTGGTGCATAATAAAATTTTTGAGCAAATTGACCAAAACATGTTTATTGCAAGTGAACATGCTAAGTTCGCTTGAGATTAATTCACCTAAATTTTAACATAATTGAATTTTATTTAGTCGAGTCAACTGGATTATTTATTCATTTATCTTTTTTTGACTTAAAATTATGTATTCATTTTAAATATTCTAATTATGTATTAACAAACAAATATTTACTGGAAAATATATGTATTAACAAACAAACTAGTTTTATTTTTCTATGAAAAATAATTTAAAATTTGTTCAATGTCACGCACTCCAAAGAATGCCACCCAAACCAAGACACAAACGCTTTGTTGGGTTGCAATTATTGGTTAAGAAGAAAATAATATGTTTTGTATTCTATTCTATTATATTATTTGCTTGTCGATTGTGCTGCTTGAGTATGTCACAGTAGCAGTATAAATGTAAAATAAATAATTGAATTAAAATATTATCAATGTAACGCATTTAGTATAAGTGAATTTATTATATTTGTATGATACTTCACTGTATGCTAATATTAATAAATCGAATAATATATGTTTTAACATTTTCACAAAATTAAAATACAATTGTTGTGATATATTGGGTGTGGGTAAATCCATGCGCTGGCAAAGAGGTAGTTTTCTTGTGCCTCTCACTGGCGGAACAAGTTGTCATTTTCAAAGACCTACCAACAGCAAGGCATTGTTAATTGGGGGCATCACTAAGTTTTAAAAATAAAGATGCCCTTTTTGGCTTAATTCATTAAACTAACACTGTCTGCGGCATGTATTATATAGTTAAGAGATTTTTTTTTAGATTTAATTCTTGAACAAATTTAAATTATATTATTGTTATTTTATTATGAAATTTAACATAATGTCTGACTGCTTAATGTAGGTAATAGTTTTTATAATATATATTTTTTTAAATATACTGGCATGAGTGCTTCCTCCTGGTCACAAGTCTGACTTCCACACCAACATATTTAAAAATAATGTTCGGGAGACCGAATTTCCAAACCAAATAACGTGGTGGTTGATGATTGAATTATCACTTAAGATTAACGTGTTCATTTTTTATTGATGACATATCATTTGATATAAAATTTTGATCTCTATAACATTATTGATTATTTAATCCATTATGTTGTACGAGTAATACTGTAATGTACAATAATAATATATTTTGTATTGTACTACATCATATTCCATTTGGGAAATTCCGTTCCTATCCCTTCCCATCTCTCTCCTCTCTGAGAGAGAGAAGAAAGAAGAAGACAACCCTCCAGACTCCAGAGGCACAAACAGAAGCAAAGCAATTGCTGCTATGTGACCAGCTGGGTGCTGCTACTCTCAGAGATAAATCCTTCCAAACACAAAACCCATTTCTGTTGCTACAAACATGAGGATGCGGCCCAGATTTCTTGCACCTTATTCTACCACTATAGTGATATTTTCCAGACCAAGTTTGTGTCGATTTGATTTCTAAGCCTCCCTAAAACTTCACCTGGAAAAAGTTGAACACTAACTCGCCTTTTAAATCGCTGCTGGGAGATTTTCTCTCTATAACCTACGGATTATTGTGATTTAATCCCTAAAACTTCTGTGATTTTTCCGACCTGTATTCAGGTACCTTATAGACTTATTGCATGTAAAGATTCAAATTTGTGATTTAAAATAATTAAGTTTTAGTAAATTATATGTTTAAATTTCTGGTTTTGGAGAATTATTCATTAAATTTATGGGTTCTTTGATTTAATTTTATCTGAGATTCAGTAATTTTTTTTTTATAGGTTTTGTAGAATTTTTCGATTAAATTTCTGGGTTTGGTAGTGGTGTTTTATTTTGTGTGCATTTGATGAATCTGGTAATTGGAGTTTGGATTTTTTGAGTGCGTATATCCGAACTCTCTCTCTCTTCAGTTTCCATCAACCTCTCTACTCAAATACTGTCCAAAGTGAAAATTTGTGGAAAAGGAAAAGATTTGTTGTTAGGGAAAAGCTATATTGTTGTAGAAAGATTTGAAATAGCTGAAATAGTTGAAATGTGTTTGCTTCCCATTTATCTCAGTTTTATTCGGTGTAAACGCTCACTTCTCTGGCTAGATTTTTTGTTTGTTTTTCTGGGTTTTGGCAAAAAAGTGGTAATTGTAGATTCTGATATTGAAGGGTTGATCTTTTGGGAAAATGATAAAAAGGGCTGAAAGAAATTTTTATAATGATTTAGGGTTTTGTGTGATTGTATTAGTGTTCAGTTGAATCCTCAAGAGACCAAAAGGGGATTAATGATGTTCTATCTGAATTGCAGTTCATTAGGGACATTTTTATTAAGTAGAAGAAGGAATAGCTTATGAGGATTAGTCTTAATATTAGATTCAACTCAACACTAAGCCCAACCTAAACCGCTGAATATATATGTGCATTCTTATCAATTTTTTCCGTAGTTTTTCCTTTTTATTCTTCCCTACTATTGTAATAATTTCATTTTCCGAGGATTGTGTTAATTTTTTCACTGCAACTTTGTATGATTTCTGATCATTTCATGTGTTAGATTCAAATTTTTTGAGGATGTTGGACCCAAAGAAGAAGATAGCCATCAGTTGATAAGGAAACGGTGAAATACCCTTATCTAATGAATTTATTTATTTATTTATACTCACTGCAACATATAAAGAACGTCAACTGTGTGTGTCATACTTTTCTGATTTAGCTTTGAGTTATGATTTATGATACTGTAATGGTTTTGTTCTCATAATTCATGTTTGAAGTCAGGAAAACTCATATGTTGCTTTTGCTGTTTGATTAGCAGTTGCTAATTAGAAATGGCTAATTCTTCTTCGTATAAGTATTTAGCAATTGTATGATGAGGCTAATTAGAATTAGTCAGCTTGTGGATGCATTAACATGTTTAAGTAGTAATAATTAAACTCAAAAGATTTTTGGCAACGAAGAAGAAAGAAGAGTGAAGTACTGAGGAACAAGTGAAAAGTTGGGGCATGGAAAAACAAGATATTTTCCTATTTTTATGTGTATTATATCTATATGAACATCTTAATTCCAAACTTTTGCTATGTAATATATTCTACAAGTACCTATCTTTTGTTCCTTATTGAACACAAGGATGTAAATAGATTTTGATCATTCCACACGTTTAAAACAATTTTAAAACCCGTGGCATCGAGCGGGCATGCATTGCTAGTAATTTGCTAGTTCAATGATATGGGTCTGCTGGATTTGGCCATAAATTTTATTGGCAAGTGTGTTTGAATGTGCTAATCCTGCATTGCCTTGATTTGGTTGCTATTTTAGTCTTAATTGCTTTTTGAGCGATTAATTAGTGAGTGAGTGAAGTTTGAGCTGAATTATGGTTTGATCCGTATGCACTCTCACTCAGCAGACATCACTAGTTGAATTTCACCATGGTGAGGAAGAAGAGAAATCAAAATCCTGGCGGAGGTGAATGCTCTCAGCCTCAGGAAGGCGGTGGGGGGAGTGATCAATCTTCCCAGAGGAGTTCACCCGCACCTGCACCTGCACCAGCACCACAACAATACTATGAAGGAGGAAGAGGAGGAGGACCAGGTGGTTATCAAGGTGGAGGAGGAGGAGGACCAGGCGGTTACCAAGGTGGGGGAGGAGGACCTGGAGGTTACCAAGGTGGAAGAGCCTGGGCGCAACAAGGACCACAGGGGGGACAGAGAGGCTATGGTGGTGGTGGCGGCGGCCGTGGCCGTGGGATGCCACCACAGCAGCAATATGGTTATGGTGGGCCCTCTACCTCGCCCTCACAGGCCCCTGAATTCCGAGGTAGATCCCGGGGTGGTCAGGGAGGAGGAGGTCGTGGAGGAACTGGCAGCAGTGGAAGTGGTCGTGGCCGTTGGGGAGGAGGACCTTCTTTTGGTGGTGGCTCAGCGAGACCATCGGTTCCCGACCTGCACCAAGCGACCTCTGCTCCGTATGTTGCTGGGGTCACTCCTCAAGCCACAGGCCCTGCACCCTCCTCATCCTATGAGCCTCAACCTTCAGTATTGGTGGAGCCTTTGCACCAGATGACCATCCAGCAAGAAGGTGTTCCTGCTCCTGCTCCTGGCAATACAATTCAACCCATTCCGGCCTCGAGTAAGTCAGTGAGGTTCCCTCTTCGCCCTGGCAAAGGCACCACTGGCATAAAATGTATAGTCAAGGCAAACCACTTCTTCGCTGAATTGCCCGACAAAGATTTGCACCAGTATGATGTGAGTTATTTTACTGTCCATATATGTCTTTGTCCTTCTCATATTGTTCTAAAAATCTGTGTTTGATAATTGCTTTCAATGCATATTATTTGTTGTTAGGTTACAATTACACCTGATATTGCATCGCGGAGGTTGAATCGGGCTGTGATGAAGCGGTTGGTGGATTTATACAGAGAATCCCATCTTGGAAATCGGCTACCTGCCTATGATGGGCGCAAAAGTTTGTATACTGCTGGCCCTCTCCCCTTCTCATCGAAGGACTTCAGGATTGCCCTTATGGATGATGATGATGGATCAGGCGGGCAAAGGTGGGATACTTAGTGCTCAAAATTTGGTTGTACATAGTTTCTGTCGACAGTTTTCGTACCCATATGATCATCATTCTGTTCTTCTTGCAGGAGGGAGAGAGAATTTAAAGTGGTTATCAAATTTGCTGCACGTGCTGACCTGCACCATCTAGAACTCTTTCTGATGGGGAGGCAGTCTGAGGCTCCTCAGGAAGCCCTGCAGGTTCTTGACATTGTTCTGCGTGAACTGCCTACTGCCAGGTATATGATATCTATGTTCTATGTGTGTTCAGTACACATCAATATTCACACATTAATATTGCTCTAGAGCTAAATCTGTTGGACTTGATTGATTGTAGTTACTATCCTGTTGCGCGTTCGTTTTATTCCCCTGACCTGGGTAGAAGGCAGTCACTCGGTGAGGGTTTGGAAAGTTGGCGCGGATTCTATCAAAGTATTCGTCCAACACAGATGGGGCTATCTCTAAATATTGGTACTGATTTTTGAAGATTTTTAAATCAAAGTTTTACAGCAACTATCTTGATTGTTTTTTCTCCAGTTCACTTCCTTTTATCAATTCGACTTTTCCATTAACATTGACAAAATATCAATGTTCCAGACATGTCATCTACTGCTTTCATTGAGCCACTTCCGGTCATTGAGTTTGTCAATGAGCTGCTCAACCGAGACATTTCATCTAGACCATTGTCTGATGCTGATCGTGTGAAGGTAAGATTTTGTTCATCGTCTTTTGATAAATTATGAAGGTAGGTTTAGTTTTTGTTTTATCAATCTCCCTAGAGAGCTTCCACTGCAGGATCCTGCTTGTGTTGGTTTGTGTTTTATTCTGGACTGTTCAAACGGTGGAAGTCCACTTATTTTCCTGTAGGTGCAGAATCCCACTGCAGATTCTGCCTCTTATTTTTCCTTCATTTTGTGTCAAAATCTACTTCATTTCTATTAAATTTTTGGATGGAATATTGGAATATTTTATCAACTTTTCATCAAGGCTAGATGTTTATTGCGACAAACCAATCTTGTTTGTGTAATGTAACTTTCTGGATATGATGTCTGACAGTCTGTAGAATTGACTTTCATTTTAATTTATAATGGATATCAGAATCACTGTTTTTTGCGTTACAACAGATAAAGAAGGCTCTGCGAGGAATAAAGGTTGAAGTTACGCACCGTGGAAATATGCGCAGAAAATATCGCATATCTGGTTTGACATCCCAGGCAACAAGAGAACTGACGTGAGTATTCACATCTTATGTCGTCATTGGTTACTTGTGTGGATTAGAAATTGCTTACTATCTCAAGTATTGGTGATAATCATAAACCCCCCGTACTTTTGGGCCGATTCATTTGCCCCCATCCTGAATGTCTAATTTCCTAAATGTTCATCCTACACTATGGACGTGCTTTTAGTATAGTCCCTTTTATCAGCCTTACCTGTCAAAGGGGAAGGATAAAGAAGAAAATAATCAGAGGAAAGTGAAAGAGGAGAGAAAATACACAGAATTGAGAGGAAACTTTGGATCCTGAACCTTTTTGTTATTCTTTTAATGAAGTGAAGAAAAAGTATCATGAAAGTGTGAGCAGAGATGATAGAGATGAGGGAGAGAGGAGAGAAAAAACATATAATGGTATACAATAAGCACTAAAAACCATGTGAAATAGGTTTTAGTTTTACATTTCTCACGTCTCTCTTTACCTTTTTCCTCGCCCATCTCCCTCTCTCTCATTTGTCTCTTAAATTAGAAAAATATATTATAAATCTTCATCAGGTAGACCCTTAGTTTTTACTTGAGGCTGCCGCTGCATACACTTGTTTTTCTGACGCTGTTTCTTGATTGTTTAGCTTCCCACTCGATCAGCAAAATACTATGAAATCAGTTGTTGAGTACTTTCATGAAACCTATGGCTTCATCATTAAGCATACCCAGCTGCCTTGCCTACAAGTGGGAAATCAACAAAGGTCAAATTATTTGCCCATGGAGGTAAGAAGTGCAACTTTCTTTGTATTTTATTTTATTTATTTTTAACTGGACAAGCATGTTAATAAGCAATCATTGTGTTCAGGTTTGTAAAATTGTTGAGGGTCAGAGGTACTCCCGGAGGCTGAATGAGAGACAGATTACTGCTTTGCTTAAAGTGACCTGTCAGCGTCCTTACGAAAGGGAACACGACATTATGCAGGTTAGATATTGTGGATTTCTTTTATTGGCTTACGTCACAACTGTTACGTTTCATGTATGGTGTACCAATCTTTTCATTTAGTGAAATTTAATGTGTTTGTCTTCTGATGCTGACATTCCTTGGGTCTGACTTGTAAAGTTCTACTCACTCGGTATCTGTTGGTTGAAATTTTCACTCTTCAGACAGTTCGTCAAAATGCTTACCACGAAGATCCTTATGCTCAGGAGTTTGGTATTAAAATCAGCGAGAATCTCACTTTGGTTGAAGCTCGCATCCTTCCTGCGCCCAGGGTATATGTTTTTTCAAGCTTTTGGTACCACCCTTTGTTCCTTCACTAAATGGATGAAATTAAGCTGAATCTTGTTTCGCAGCTTAAATATCATGATACAGGCAGAGAAAAGGATTGCTTGCCTCGAGTTGGACAGTGGAACATGATGAATAAGGTATCTTTAGCATAAATCTATGGTTTCCTTTTTCAGAATAGCTTGTAATTGATGAGCATATGAAGGTGGATGTGTACGTGTGTCTATATTTATGTGCATGCCAATTAATTTGCTTCTGCCATGAAACCTTTTATATACTTTGGGCTACATTAATACATTGTTTCACTGTGGTGGGGATGTTAGGAATTCTTTTTAATGTTGTACTGTCGTAGCACTAGCCTAGAAATTAATTGTTTAAAGTAAAATAAGTAGGTGGTGGTGGGTTAGAGAAAGGGTGTGTTTGTGTTGTGAAGGAGAAGCATCTCAAAAAAAAATCCCAGGTTTTTCTTTTTACCTTTTTGGGGGTTTGGGTGGAGGGAAGGGAAAGTGCATGGCAGCCACAGATGTTCTGTGTCTATGAGGTCATACTTAGAAATGGCATTTGTTCTTAGTTTTGGTTCCTTTCAGATTGCTTGTGGAATAATAATGGTATTGTGCACTGGACCTATCGCCTATATATCGCATCTCTGCAATGGCATTTGTTCTTAGTTTTGGTTCCTTTGGACTAGTTTGCTAACTTGATCAGTTGCTGATTTAGTTGGCCTTGCACATGATATTCTGCCTCTCTTATGTTGGCAATAGAAAGGCATATAATGTTTCTGTTAAGTTCTCGTGGTTTTTCTAGTAAAGGGCATTACCACCGGTGGTTGTAACTTGTCGGAGGTTATTGTGGCTGTGTTTCCCATATTGAATGATGATGTTTGTGCCTCTTGTTGAAGTCGAGGGTGTAATTGTCTTTATACTTTCTTTGATTTACTATTGTATTGTTTCAGAAAATGGTTAATGGCGGCAGAGTCAACAATTGGATGTGCATAAATTTTTCGTGGAGTGTGCAAGATGCTGCTGCCCGTCGGTTCTGCCAAGAACTTGCTCAAATGTGTAACGTTTCTGGCATGGTATGAAGCTTGTGATGCCCTTATATTTTATTGATTCTCTTCTAAATCTGTGATACCTCATGCAATGTTGGATTTCCCTTAGGATTTCAATCCTGAACCAGTACTTCCACCTATTACCGCTCGTCCAGATCAGGTGGAGCGGGCTCTGAAAACTCGCTACCAAGAAGCAATGACCAAACTTCAGGGCCAGGAGATTGAGCTGCTTATTGCTATCTTGCCTGATAATAATGGCTCTCTTTATGGTTTGGAACTTGAACTAAATTAACTTAATTAACCATATTGCTCTTTCAAAGTTTTGCCATTTTTTTATTTTAGGAATGGATCTTGGACTTGACATTTGTCATTATTTGCCATCCAGGTGATTTGAAACGAATATGTGAGACAGATCTTGGCATTGTTTCCCAGTGTTGTTTAACAAAACACGTCTTTAAGACAAATAAGCAACAGTATATGGCAAATGTAACTTTGAAGATTAATGTGAAGGTTGGGGGGAGGAATACAGTGCTAGTTGATGCTCTGTCAAGGCGAATTCCTTTAGTCAGTGATCGACCTACTATCATTTTTGGTGCTGATGTCACCCATCCTCATCCTGGAGAGGATTCAAGTCCATCAATTGCAGCTGTGCGTTACTGAACATACATTTGTGCTTTGCTTGCATGTGAATTTATTCTCTTCGCCCCAGAGTGGGGTTTGACTATTTCAAAATTATTATTCAGGTTGTGGCGTCTCAAGACTGGCCTGAAATTACAAAATATGCTGGTTTGGTTTCCGCTCAAACCCACCGACAGGAACTCATACAAGATTTATTCAAAACATGGCAGGATCCAACAAGAGGGACAATGTCTGGTGGCATGATCAAGTATGACTCTCTCTCTCTCTCTCTCATTCATTTAGGTTCTTCTAGTATTAGTTGTTGGACATGATTACTTTCCTTTTTCTTAATGCATATAAATCAACTTATGCTTGGGATTATAGGATTCAGATATTTATTCTTTTGAATACAGGGAATTGCTCATATCTTTCCGTAGATCAACTGGGCAGAAACCTCAACGCATCATATTTTACAGGCATGTCTTATATTCTGCTGCCACTTCCTTTACTTCGTTTTTTCTCTTATCTGATGGTGTATCTATGGTTATGCAGGGATGGTGTCAGTGAAGGGCAGTTCTATCAAGTTTTGCTGTATGAACTTGATGCCATTCGTAAGGTAAATCTACTTTTTTTAAATTCAGTTTCTCAACTTTAGTCATAAATTATAACTTCCTTCTGTTTCGCATCTTTGTCAGGAAATTGATAAACCTTGGTTCATCCCTTTCTCATCTTAATATATACTATCCGTTTTCTTTTTTCCTCCATAATTCAGGCATGTGCCTCTTTGGAGCCAGACTATCAGCCTCCAGTGACTTTTGTTGTGGTTCAGAAGCGCCATCATACCAGATTGTTTGCCAACCACCATAATGACCTGAAAACAGTTGACAAAAGTGGGAATATATTACCTGGTACTAATTTTAATAGACTTGGAACTTCTTTTCCATGATTTTAAGAACTCATATGTGAAATGTGGTATAAAATGCTTTGACATTGATTTTACAGGTACTGTCGTAGACTCAAAGATTTGTCATCCAACTGAATTTGATTTCTACTTATGCAGCCATGCTGGAATTCAGGTAGTGATTCGTTTATTGTATGTTAATGTATACTCTGAAAAGTTTTGGGAGTGTTGTTAAATTGGTAGTCATCATGTTAAACAGGGCACTAGCCGTCCAGCTCATTACCATGTGCTGTGGGATGAAAACAAATTTTCAGCTGATGGATTGCAGACCCTTACAAATAACCTTTGCTACACGTAAGTTTGGTGGTGAATCCATTAGTTTCATGTTTGTCATTTTGTTTGTGTTTGTTTTAGTGATTGAGTTCAACTGATGCAGATATGCGAGGTGCACCCGTTCTGTTTCCGTGGGTGAGCGCACTCTCTCTCTCTCTCAGATTTTTATAACATGCTCATTTCGTTGAATTACTAGTAAATAGTAAAATTGACGAGTTTTCCAATTTGGCAGTGCCCCCTGCGTATTATGCCCATCTTGCTGCATTTCGAGCCCGTTTCTATATGGAACCACAAACGTCGGAAGGGGGGTCAGTGACAAGTGGTGCTAATGCTGGACGTGGATTTGGGGGTGGTGGAGGATCAGTTGGACGGGGCACGCGAGCAGCAAGTGCAAATGCTGCAGTGAGGCCCTTACCTGCTCTGAAGGAGAATGTGAAGAGGGTTATGTTCTACTGTTAGGGGAGGAATAATCTGTCCTGGTCCCTGGTAATAATTGACATTTGACGATGTAGTCATTAAGTTAAACAGTAAGATTGTGATCTGGTATTTTGATACACGAGAGAGATGCTTCCCAAATCATATGGTTTTGGTTTGGGGTTTGGCAATAAACAATGTATTTGTTGTTGAACCTGGTGCCACTGCACTACCACCAATGCAGATATTGGGAAAACTTTTCCCCCCAATAATAATAATAATGTGGAATGAGTAATGCTAAGAAGATTAAAGCGTTTTGTAGTATTTACAAATGCATTACTTTACTCGCAGTCGTATTTTATTCCCGTAGTTGTATTTTATTTGTTTATGAATAAACAAGTGTGTGTGTTCTTTTTTTAGTAGAACAATGTATGTTACATTAGAGGAAGGGGGGAGTTCCGCTAAGCCAGAATGAGAAATAAACAAGTAGAAAAAGGAAGAAGGGACTAAACCCAATACAATAAGAAGGATTGAGATGAGGAGCAAAAGCTTTACCTTAGCCCTAGGATCCCATGCAACAAGAGCAAAGAAAATAAGCCATCAAATGACCCAAAATAACTTGTATACAAGATCAAATCACAATCCAATTAACCAGGCCATCATCTGGGGCTGCCACTTGTCATGCCAAAAAAATGTTGAGTAGTTTCCATCACCAATTATATGCCTAAAAAATATATGCCTAAACTTTGTCCCTAAGATTTAAGTAACTTTTTCCAATTCCATGAACAAACACTAGACTAGACTAGAGGATGAATGGACCCCCTTCAAAAAGTCGGCTTTTAAATCAATCCAATCCAATCCACCCAAACAGAAATGGAGTAGAGCTTACTTGAGCTTTTTGATGAAAAGTAGCAACAAAAACAAAACAAATTGCGCAAACAAACTTAGTTGAACATGAAAACCGAAAAGGATTGGATATTGACCTTGGATGATTGGATTGGATTGGATTGGATTGTATAGCAGTGGTACTTTGGTCATTTAATAAGCAGCCTCAGGAAAATAAAAGAAATTACATGAAATGAATGAATAGATGGTGTGGGTCTCGAAAATCAACTAGAAAGAAAGGAAAGAAATGAAATGAAAAGAAGAGGAAAAAAAAAAAAAAAAAAAAAAAAAAAAGAGGAACAGGGAGAGGAAGAGAATCACACTCAAATCAAGTTGTGCATTTAGCTTTAAGCCCATCATTAAAGTTTTACACTAAAATTAATTTGGCAATAAGTTAAGTGACTAACTCCTTAAACATATTCTCCTTTGCAATGTTTTCTAACTTTCTCACATGAGACATTTCTTCACCCTCTCATATGCCCACTCGTGTGTGGTCAAGTCAATCACGTGGACAAGTTAACGGGTAATGTGAGACATATGCGGTCGTTTTGCCTCATACTTAGTGTAACTTGCTCTAATTTCAAAAGAAAGTTGATGTTCCAACTCAAACAAGAATGGTAAAGAATGGCCTAACCCCTTAGCATGTTTGGATAGACCTGGAAATGATTAATTAGACCTTTGTCAACGTGTCAAAATGAGTATAGAATTTTGACACGGCACAACCCATCAAAGTAACGGATCCATTCATTTTCAATATGACCCGATAAGATCAAATCTGAGTGCGTTGTTTTTGAGCAGCAACGTGTCGTGTACGATTGTTTCAGAAATTCTAAATAGCAATCGTTACACTTTCTATTTTTATCATAAATGCGATTAAATACACCATCAAATATTATCTTTATCTAGCTTTTTACAATGGATTTAATTTTGATTGAGTGTAAAATGATTATTTTGAAGCGATAATAACAACTCTGATTTTTAGTTTTAAAAAGAAATCCTAGCTTTGTGCAGTGTAAAAAATAAATGTTTTATTGGATGAAGTAGGCGTAGGGAAGAAGGATGGAGTGGTCATTTCGAAATACAAACCGCTGGTGCACGTTGTTCGGTTGGGGCTTTTTTATTTATTTATAAAATTATTTACTATATTCAACCCAGAGCCACAGACAGAGTGAGTGAGTACTGCGTAGGCAGGCAAGCCCCTTTTCGATTTCCATTTTTCATCGTTCTCGCCTTCTGAAGCTACCGCTGCTGCGGCGTTGTACGACGGTCATCGGACTCTGATTTCACGGTAACCACTCGAAACGACTCGTTTTAGGGTTTCGTACTGCCATTTGTTCCCGTTGTTATTTGCTAATTTGTGGTATGGATCTGCATATTTTGCCCTAAAATTGGTGTTAGGCTTCAGTTTCTTTCACGAAGATTTATTTTCGTTTTTAATTTATATTTTTAAAGCTTTTCTGAAAGGCTTTATCGTCGCTTGGTTTTTTCGTTGCATTTTGTTTCGGTAGATCGTTAGATCTCGTGCGTTTTTTGCAATGCTGGGAAGCATGTGTGGTTGTTTAGGATTCTAAGAAGGTGATCTTTTAGGGTTTATAGTTGGTATAGTGATTTATTTATTCTGGGTTTTTTACGTTGGTGCTAGAGCAATTGATGATAGCCATTTTATCTTCTGCTTTTATTATTTTTCTCCTACTTTTTTAAGAAACTGAATTTTACATGACATTCGTGGTACATTTTACCAAATTCCAGGAACACATAGGATTTTAGAACTTATCGCACTGAAAAATTCTGGGTAACCTTCCCACCTTCTGATTGAAGGTGTTTTCTGTTATTTAGTGTTTGCTTTGGGGCACTTTTATATGTTGTGGCTCTGGGTATCGTGCTCTCAGCCTTTTGAAAACCCTTGGATATGTTTGTATTCTGGAAAACCCTAACCCATGAGTGGATTCTTTGGTTTGTTGGTGTACATTATGCATTTACTTTCATTTTATACATTCGTTAATATATTGTTTTTGGGTTTATAGCCTTTTATTTCTTTGCTAATGGTTCTTTTGATGCAATACTGATTCTCTGTGTAGACATCATCATGGTGAGGAAGAGGAGAACTGAACTCCCTAGTGGGGAAAGCTCCGAGTCTCATGAACCTGCTGGGGGTCGTGGTTCCCAGCCTGCTCCTGAAGGGACTCTGCCACAACAACAGGGTGGAGGAAACTACCAAGGTGGCCGTGGACCGGCCCCCCAGGGAGGTCGTGGAGGCTATGGAGGGGGCCGTGCTGGCCGTGGAGTGCCGCAACAGCAGCAGTATGGTGGGCCCCAGGAATACCAACAACAGCAGTATGGTGGGCCACAGGAATATCAAGGCAGAGGCAGGGGAGGACCGACTCAGCAAGGAGGTCGTGGAGGTTATGGAGGTGGTCGTGGTGGTGTTGGCCGTGGAGGACCACCTTCTCCTGGTGGCCCAACCAGACCTCAGTTCCCCGAGCTGCACCAAGCAACCCCAGTTCCTTACCAAGGGGCCACTCATCAAGTTCCTTATCAAGGGGTCACCTCTCCACCTGTATATGTGGGAAGTTCATCATCATCCCAGCCGCCTGAGCCTTCAGAAGTGGCGGAGCAGCTTGCTGTCCTTACCGTCCAGCAAGAGAGTGCACCTAGCCAGGCTATTCAACCGGTGGCACCCTCAAGTAAGTCAGTCAGGTTCCCGCTTCGCCCTGGTAAGGGTAGCACTGGCAGAAGGTGTACAGTCAAGGCAAACCATTTCTTTGCAGAATTACCTGACAAAGACCTCCACCAGTATGACGTAAGCTCTCTGGCCATTTGTCTGTCTTTTGATATTGTACTTCGGTTGATAATATGTCTTTTCATTAAATGTATTAGGTTACCATTACGCCGGAGGTCACATCAAGGGGTGTAAATCGTGCTGTGATGGAGCAGCTGGTGACACTGTACAGGGAATCCCATCTTGGAAAACGTCTACCAGCTTATGATGGACGAAAGAGCCTGTATACTGCCGGCCCACTTCCTTTCCTTTCAAAGGAGTTTAAAATCACTCTTATTGATGATGATGATGGTCCAGGTGGACAAAGGTGCGTACTCACAGCTCTTTATTTTTAGTTACATTTTTTCTGTGCACTCTTATTTTGTATGTATTTGATCATGGCTTCTTCTTGATGGCAGGAGAGAGAGGGAATTTAGGGTTGTCATAAAATTTGCAGCACGTGCTGACCTACACCATTTAGGTCTCTTTTTGCAAGGGAGGCAAGCTGATGCACCTCAAGAGGCGCTTCAGGTTTTGGACATTGTTCTGCGCGAATTGCCTACTTCTAGGTAAACAATTTTTTCTGCGTATTGATGACATGATGACACATTCTTGTTTTATATGTTTGATAGCTAATTTTTTCCTCTTTGGTTGTAGGTACTGTCCCGTTGGCCGTTCATTTTATGCCCCTGGTTTGGGTAGAAGACAGTCACTTGGTGAGGGTTTGGAAAGTTGGCGTGGGTTTTATCAGAGTATTCGTCCGACTCAGATGGGGCTGTCTCTGAATATTGGTACTTAATTTTGTGCTATCCCAACATGCATCATTTCTGTGAATAATAGATTATCTACTTTCATCAATTTGATTGTAGTAATAGTCATGTGTTACACTGCATAGTTATTCCGCTGATTGGTGTTTTGTTTACATGCTGTCTAGATATGTCCTCTACTGCTTTTATTGAGCCGTTGCCAGTTATTGAGTTCGTAACACAGCTACTGAATCGGGATGTTACACATAGGCCACTCTCTGATTCTGATCGTGTAAAGGTTAGGTTTCCCTCATTGTTTCCGTTTTGGTGATTTAATTATTTCTCTTGAGTGTTTGTTTGAAAGTGTGACAGATATTGGGGTGTTGATACTGTTAATCTGTTTCGTGTTTCCTTGTGTATTTCTGTTTGTGAAAATTAACTTACATGTGTAAAAACTCGTTCACTGGGGTTAATGTTTATGTAGTTATTTTTTAGGTAACCTTTCATTCTTATATATTCACTTAAAACTATATGTTTTATAGATCTGATGCTGTAGATGGAGTGTGTATCACAATTGATGTACAGCTATATTTGCCATCATTTTTATATTAGATATCATAATAACCTTTTAATTGTGAACAGATAAAAAAGGCTCTTCGTGGAGTCAAGGTTGAGGTCACACACCGAGGAAATATGCGCAGAAAGTACCGTATTTCTGGTTTAACGTCGCAGGCAACAAGGGAACTGACGTGAGTACTTCTTGACTTTTATATTTGTATATTTCTTATGCTTTCCTATGCTTGTATATTTCTTAACTTCGTATTTGTATTAGGAGCACATTGAGGTGTGTGAAACTTGTTTCCCTGATATTGTATTTTGTCCATTCAGTTTCCCTGTTGATGAAAGAGGAACTAT